AGGTGCCTGCTAGCTGTGCTGTGCATTGAACCAACAGGTATCCATTTCCAGCACTGCCCAGTCCAGTGTGTCGCTCCATTCTGTGTACTGACAGTTTTGCCTTCCTCTGTACATGATGTTTATGTATCTGCTGTTTCCCTAAGGTGAAGCTCTCCAAATAGAGTGTTTATTACTACTTCTGGGTGCTGCTTCTTTACTATAGCCCTTCCTGGGTTTTTGCCATCCTTCAAAGTAAAGAAGAGGGTACAGACCCCTGTGACTTGTTTGGGAGGGGTGGGAGGCTTGTGTTCCCATCTGCTATCCCCAGGCACCCTGAGATCCAGACAGAGCCACCAAGTGCCTTCCTCTGTGCTCCACTGGCACGTCTGCATGGCCTGGGGCACACCAACGTCACCAAGGGGAAGGCAGGACAGTCTGCACACACACAGTGCTGGCGCTTCTGCAGACTGTTGTGTTGCTTGTGCTGAAAACATCCGTCACAGCCACAGGGCACTGGGCCGTTTTCTGGCAGCTGGGGAGCAGAGCGATGGTGTGCAGCCACTCCCCTGTCTGCACCGCGCCTCACTGGGGCAGGATGTGCTCCCAGCAAGGCCTAGATGGGCGCCCCCCACTGCCTAGCTGCAGGCTGTGCCCACGCTACGTCCTGGTACCACACCGCAGCACCCACGGGCACCCAGCAGCACGGTGCCACAGGAGCTGCGGCCTGGCGATGGGGCGGTGTGCAGGGGGAGGCAGAGCACACTGTGCACACTGTGGCCCTTTTGTCCCACAGCGGTGCTGCCTGCCCCTGCCCGGGCCCCTGCGGGCAGCACCTGGCTGTGCCGGGGCTGCAGCTGCCGTGGCCAAGCCCCAGAGCCTTCCGTGCTGGCAGCGAGCGCAGGGCGTGGAGCCACCACGGCCACGTCCCCGTGGAGGTGCCGCCATCCCCGGCTCTTTCACTGCCAGCTCTGCAGAGCTTGCCCAGCTGAGCCCCGGCACGGCGCTGGGACCCCTCAGCTGGGGAGGAGCGCAGCCCCATCTGCAGCCCTAACCGCTGCCCTCCCTCGTGGTCCTGCTGTCTCCAGCAAGTAAATCGGGTGCAGATGTGGGGCTGGGTGCCTGCTTGCCATTAGGGTTTGGGAACACAGCGGTGGCCCAGCTCCTGCCTTGCAGCACCCTGCTGTTCCTGGGGTATCCTGCCTTTGAGCCCTGCAGCACGGCTTGCTCAGCACATGGCATCCTGGGTGGCAGCACCCATACAGACTGTTTCTGAGCATGGCATGGCTGTCCCCAGAGGGGCTGTAGGATGCAGCTCATGCTGTGCTGCAGGACGTTCCCTGCTTGCCTTGGAAAGAGCTCAGTGCCTGCTGATGAGGGCTTGATTGAGGCTCATGCCCCTCACTCGGCAGTCCCTGTGCCAGGCCTGTGTTTTCATCTCTCCAGAGGGAACAACAACAGGTTCATGTTTGCCAAGTGGTGCCTGGTTAAACCTTAACCCGGCTGGGTTGCTCCATCGGTTCCTCCCTGTGGGAGATAAGGATCAGCAGGAATGCAGCATTCTGCTCCCTGGGCAGCAGGAACCGAGCCCCTGCCCTGAGCCCACTCTGCAGGACGAACTGTAGGGCTGGGACCTGTGTCCCACAGCCAGCTGCTCCATGCCCAGCAGCCATGCACCCACAAGGCTGGAGCAGGCACCAGTGCGGCTGACCAGCAGGCTGCAGGCTGTGGCCGGGGCAGCGAAGCCAAGTGCTGAGGGCAGTGGGGCTGCACAGAGCCGGTGGGTACTCTCACATGGCTCTTGTGGCCCCGCTCGCTCGGCCTCAGCATCCCGACGCCATGCATGCAGGGTGCTGAGAGCCGGGGACCTGCATCCCAAACAACAGCCGTTCAGGAGATGCCAAGAGAAACTTCCAGGAGGAAAGAGCCCCCTGGGCTCCGCCCCCCCCAAGAGCTGCTGGCCGCGCACGCTGGCCGCAGGTGCGACCGCAGCAGGACCGGCGGCGAGCGCTGGGGCCAGGCACAAGGGGCGGCTGTGTTCCCGCAGCCCCGGCTGCCTTCCAAGAGCAATATTGTTGGCACCAGGCAGGCTCCCTGCGCCGGCAGTGCATACATGGGCCTTTCATGACGGGAGTGGGGATGATTTACTGCCTGGGGGAAGGGGCAGGGGTGGGAGGATGGAGCCCCTGCGCCCAGCCCCTCATGCGTGCCGCTGCTGCGGGGCCCCGCACACGAGCGGGGCTGTGGGTCTGGCTGGGCACAGGCAAACATTGGAGATCGCCTCTCACAGGGCAGAGCTCCAGCTGCCCCATGCACCCCGTGCCCGCTTCTGAGCACCCCCACCATGGGCAGCTCAGTGGCCATGGGAACGCGTGCTCCTCGTGGTGCCGTGGCAAAGCGAGGTTCCAGGGCAGGGCCGTGCTGTGGCACAGGGATCCGGCACTGGCACAATGCCCCCTTGTTGAGCTGCTGGCGTGGTGGTGCTATAGCGGTGCTGCCGGAGGCGGGCAGCAGGCGGTGGGCTGTGCTGCCGTGAAGGGCTTTTTGTTTGCCTTCAGTTGCTGCTATAAATCAAGCAAGGCAGCCCAAGCCCCCCGGCCCCTTGGCTGGGAGGGGAGCAGCTCCCTGCAGCCCGCACTCCACTGCCCCGTCCTGGCAAGGGACGAGTTGCCGGCACGGGTCCCATGTGCCTGCCTGGCTCCATCCCCACTGCAGGAACCAGGCGGGGATATGGGGGGTCTCGATGCCCATCCCAGGCTCCCAGCACTCTTGCAGGGTTTCTTGCATCCCTCCCCAGACAGCCGCAGGGGATCTGCTGCTCCCACACCCGGGGCTCGGCTGCTGCCTCTGCCTCGCTGGGCATCTCCGTGCCCCTCGCTTTTGGTGTGGTTTGGTTTAAATCGAGCCGAACCCAACATTTTTCTGCGCTTCCGGCACTTTGCAAAGCTCTGCAGAGGCAACTGCTGCTCCGTGAAATTGATGTTCTCGTCCGCTTCACGCATCGGCGGGAATGCGCCGTGCAGAACAGCTGCTGGGGGCTGCGGCGGTGGGGGCTGTGAGAGGGGAGCGGGAGCCCAGGAGGAGAGCGGCCGCGCACGGGATGCGGCACTGCTGCGCCCCGAAGTCACGGCGCCGCGGGATGGGGGTGACAGCGGCAGCCCCGAACGGCGCAGCACTGCAGCTCCGTCGCAAAGCGGCTCCGGGAGGAGCTCCGGGGCTCGGCTCCCGGCTCCGTTCCCGCACGGACCGGAGAAACGGGACGCGGCCGGGACTGCTCCCGGTGCCGGGGGTCCCTCCGGGGAGAGGTGTTTATGGCGCGGATTAGGGCCGGGCCGGCCCCGCCTCGCAGCCCCGCGGTGTTTTACGACGCAGCCTTATGGGCTCCTAATGGGGGTCACGGCCACTTGATGGCCCCGGCAGCGATAACGCCGCGCTAATTGCAGCGGCGGCAATTAGCCCGCGCGCCCCGGCACGGGAACGGCGCCCGGCAACGCGCGGCGGGGGCTGCGGGCTGCGGGCTGTGGGCGGCGCCGCGGCACGGCCGGGGCCCGGGGGCGGGGGACGGGGGGTGGGCAGCGGGCAGCGGGCGGGGCCGGAGCCGCCCCCGGCGAGGCCGCCCGCGGCGCCGCGTAACCCGAGCGCCGCCCTACAAAGTGCCCGCGCCCTCGGCACAGCGCGGCGGGGTGAGAGTCTGGCCCGCCATGGGGCCCCGGCGCTGAGCGGAGCTCGCCCGGCCCCGCAGGACTTTGCTCGGGCCCTCCCCGCCGCGGCCGGTGCGGAGCTGGAGGAGCCGCGCCGTCGGGGCTCCGCGCAGCCGGCTCTGCCCGACGGCCGCGGGGCAGCGCAGCTCCTCGCCGCGGAGCAGCTTCCCGCGGGAGGCCCGGAAGATGCTGCCGCTCTGGCTCGTCCTGGCGGGACTGGTGCTGGCGGCCGGCCCGGCCTCTTCCCACCGCGGGGAGATGGAGCCAGGTACGGGTGGGACTGGGGGGGGGCTGAGGGCGGCTCCGTTACTGGCTTTTCCCGATCCCTCTTCTCGCAGCCTTCGCGGGTCGGCAGCCCGGCTGCGGGCTGTGCCGGCGCGGTTGGGCCGTGGCTGTGCGGTGGTGCGCGCGCGGTGCTGACAGCTGCGGGATTCGGGGCGCGGCGGCAGCGCGTGGGGCACGCGGACGGGGCAGGAGCTGCGGGTCCCGGCGCAGCCGTACGGTCGCTGAACCGCCGCTGCTTTGGTTTGTCCCGGCGGTGGTTTTACTCCGAGCGGCTCTGGGTTTGGAACGGAGCAGAATATTTGCTTTGGAACTGCTTTCCCAGCGTGGGCCAGGCCCGCGGTGTGGGGGAATTGTGCGGGGGTGTTGATGCTGAGCGCTCCCAGTTCTTTCCCGTCCCGGTGCGTTAGGATGAACGCGGGCACCCTGTGCCACAGGCCCCTCTGGAAGGACTGTGGCACGGGTGGCCTTGGCCGGGAACACGGCAGTGCCAGGCCGCGGGGGAAGCCTTGTTCCAGTGCCCGGGGGCAGAGTCCGGCCCTTGCATGAGTCTCTGGCCGGACGGGGCGGCCAGGCGCTGTGCCGTTGTGTGTGTGCTGTGCACAACGGGAAGAAACGTGGTGGGACCCTGCTGTCGGAGCGCTCTGTGCGCAGTGCTGAGCGCGTCTCTCCCGGGCTGCAGAGCTGTTTGAGAGCCCGCTGCTGGAGTCGGAGGAGGAACACCTCCTGCTGGACCCGGGCAATGCGCTGAAGCTGTACTGCGATGCTAACCAGAGCGGGTCCAGAGTAGTCTGGTACAAGGAGTCGCGGCCGCTGCTCCCCGGGCCCCGCATCCGCCTCCAGCAGGGCATACTGGAGATCACCGAGGTTGCCTACGAGGACTCGGGGCTCTACGTGTGTTGGATGCGGGGCTCCGGGGAAGTCCTGCGCAACCTCACCGTCTCTGTAGTGGGTGAGGGCCCAGAGCAGCGCTGAGGGGAGCACAGCCCGACTTTCCCATCCTGCAGACGGGCATCCCTCGTGACCCACTTTCCCTTGCAGACTCACTGGCATCGGGTGATGATGATGAAGACAGCGATGGGGATGGTCCCCACGGAGACCGCAGCGAGGAGCCCGTCTATGTGCACAGAGGTAAGTACTGCCATGGGGGGAGCAACTGGGGGCAGTGGAGCACCCAGGGCCGTGGAGCCGCATCCCACAGTGCTCACTATCTCTCCCCAGCACCTTACTGGACTCACCCGCACCGCATGGACAAGAAGCTGTATGCTGTCCCTGCCGGGAACACGGTCAAGTTCCGCTGCCCAGCCTCGGGCAGCCCCAGCCCCAGCATCCGCTGGTTCAAGAACGGGCGTGAGTTCCGGGGGGAGCACCGCATCGGGGGCATACGGGTAAGGGCCCCCCCACGTCATCATCCTCTCCTGGTGTCTGGCTCAGCTGCAACCCCCTGAACCTGTTGCTCCCCATCGCAGCTCCGGCACCAGCACTGGAGCCTGGTGATGGAGAGTGTGGTGCCTTCCGACCGTGGCAACTATACCTGTCTGGTGGAGAACAGGTTTGGCAGCATCCGCTACAGCTACCTGCTGGACGTGCTGGGTGAGGGTCCGCAGGTGGTGCCGGGAGGGATCCCTACTGCCACTGAGAGGGGATGAAGGCAGAGGAGCCCGTCCTCACCTGCTCTACTTGAGCAGCCCTAGTGTCCCAGCAGCTGAGGGAGGTGGGGTTGGGACACCTCTGGGTGCTGTGGTGACGCTGCCCCTGTACCCTGTGTGCAGAGAGGTCTCCGCACCGGCCCATCCTGCAGGCGGGGCTGCCTGCTAACACCACTGCCCTGGTGGGCAGCGACGTGGAGTTCTTCTGCAAGGTGTACAGCGACGCCCAGCCCCACATCCAGTGGCTGAAGCACATCGAGGTGAACGGCAGCAACTACGGCCCTGACGGGGTGCCCTACGTGCAAGTGCTCAAGGTAGCATCCGGGGGGGTGACAGGGGCACACAGAGCTTGTCCACACACGGGTGTGCTCACAGTCCCTCGCTCTGCCCACAGACTGCAGATATCAACAGCTCTGAGGTGGAGGTGCTGTACCTGCGTAATGTCACCATGGAGGATGCAGGCGAGTACACCTGCCTGGCAGGGAACTCCATCGGCCTCTCCTACCAGTCGGCGTGGCTCACTGTGCTTCCAGGTAGGGCTGGGATTAGGGCTGGGTTTAGGGCTGGAAGCAGCACAGGGACCGTGGTGTAGACTGATATGTGCTCTGCCTCTAGAAGAAGAGCTGGTGCACGAAGCTGAGGCCCCTGAGGCCAAGTACACCGACATTATCATCTACACGTCGGGCTCGCTGGCTGTGGCCATGGCCCTCATCATTGTGGTGCTGTGCCGCATGCAGACGCTGTCGAGCAAGCAGCCCCTGGAGCCCATGGCAGTGCACAAGCTCTCTAAATTCCCACTCATCCGACAGGTGAGGGCTGAGCTGGGTGCACCTTGGTGGTAACTGGCCCTGCTGCTGCCATCTGTCTCTGTCACCTTGTCTGGGGCTGCCCTCACCCGGTTGCACCCAGCAGCACCGGGTCTCAGCAAAAGTCCCGGGTGTCTGAAGGCTGCTGTGCTGTCCCTGCAGTTCTCCCTGGACTCCAGCTCATCAGGGAAGTCCAGCACATCGCTGATGCGTGTCACCCGCCTCTCCTCCAGCTGTGCCCCCATGCTGGCAGGCGTCGTCGAGCTGGACCTGCCCCTGGATTCCAAGTGGGAATTTCCCCGAGAAAAGTAAGGATCTGAGGAGGGCTGGGGCCAGCAGTGCCATTGCCCATGGGCTCAGAGCGGGGTCAGCCCCTTGTGTGCTCATGGCTCTGCCTCCCCCGGCAGGCTGGTGCTGGGGAAGCCCCTGGGTGAGGGCTGCTTTGGGCAGGTGGTGCGGGCAGAGGCGTACGGCATCGACAGGCAGTGGCCGGACCGAGCCGTCACCGTGGCTGTCAAAATGCTCAAAGGTAACGTTTCTGCTGTGGTGTCTGGGCACAGCTCTGCACTGGTGTCACCCCAGCATGCAGTGACACAGCCCTCTGTCCCCAGACAACGCCACCGACAAGGACCTGGCTGACCTCATCTCCGAGATGGAGATGATGAAGCTGATGGACAAACACAAGAACATCATCAACCTGCTGGGAGTGTGCACGCAGGACGGTGAGGGGCTCGGGGGGGCAGGGGGCTGCTGGGGTGGATGGGGCAGGACTGAGTGCTGTTTGCCCTCCCCAGGGCCCCTCTATGTGATAGTGGAGTTCGCTGCCAAGGGCAACCTGCGCGAGTACCTGCGTGCCCGGCGGCCCCCCATGCCTGATTACACCTTCGACATCACGGAGCTGCATGAGGAGCAGCTCTGCTTCAAGGACTTGGTGTCCTGCGTCTACCAGGTGGCCCGCGGCATGGAGTACCTGGAGTCCAGGCGGGTAGGGATGGCGGTGTGTGCGCCACAATGGGGGCGTGAAGGCTGGGCATCTCCTGGGGGTGGTGGTGCCGGGGGGCCTAGGGTGGGAGGTGCCATCTCACACCTGGGGTGATGTGTTCTGCCTGGCAGTGCATCCACCGCGACCTGGCTGCGCGCAACGTCCTGGTCACAGCAGAAAATGTGATGAAAATTGCTGATTTTGGCTTGGCCAGGGATGTCCATGACATTGATTACTACAAGAAAACCAGCAATGTGAGTGTGGGGCTAGGTGCAGGGCAGGGTATGGGTGGAAATCCGTAAGCCTGGCTGAGTTGAGGTTTGTTCCTGTAGGGCCGCTTGCCTGTCAAGTGGATGGCGCCTGAGGCCCTGTTCGACCGCGTCTACACCCACCAGAGTGATGTGTGAGTGCTGGGGCCATAGGGCTGCCATGTGTCCAGGGTGAGGTAGCACTGCAGGGCCTTCAGCTGTAAGGCAGGGGTGCTCCATGGGGTGAAGCTCTGCTCTGGCACTGGCCAGAGCTCTCATCCCTGCTCTTGGGGCACAGCAGGGTGAGGGAAACAGGGCCCTGCCTGCTGTGGGAGGGGTCTGGGACAGTCACACCGTCCTGTGTCCATCGCAGGTGGTCCTTTGGGATCCTGATGTGGGAGATCTTCACCCTGGGTGGCTCCCCGTACCCTGGCATCCCCGTGGAGGAGCTCTTCAAGCTGCTGAAGGAGGGGCACCGTATGGACTGCCCATCCAACTGCACCCACGAGCTGTGAGTACTGGCGCTGGGGGGGGTGGGTGAGTGGGGGGCGGCAGCACCCCCATGACGTGCCCTCATCCCAGGTACATGCTGATGCGGGAGTGCTGGCACGCGGTCCCCTCACAGCGGCCCACCTTTAAGCAGCTGGTGGAGGGGCTGGACAAGATCCTGGCAGCCATCTCGGAGGAGGTGAGGGGAGGAGGGGACGGCCCCTGCGGGGGCACAGGGCAGGCAGTGACAGCGCTGTGTCCTCTTCAGTACCTGGACCTCTCCATGCCCTTCGAGCAGTACTCTCCCTCCTGTGAGGACACCACGAGCACCTGCTCCTCCGACGACTCTGTCTTCACCCACGACCCATTGCCGCTCGCTCCCTGCCTCTTTGCCTGCCCCAGTGGCAGGACTTAGGGGTGGCAGGGCCAGGTGATGCCAGCAGGTATCCACACAGGGCCGTTCCCCGCTTCTCTGGGGCTTCGCTTGTTGGGGACTGAGCTCCTCCTCAACGGTTCTGCTTCAAGCCTGCAGCCTGGCAGCGTCAGCCCCTGCCTCACAGGGGTGGGCATCACCCCAGGGCCCCCCTGGCATCTCCTGGAGAGTCAGCTGTTGTCCAGTGCTTCAATGGAAGTGGCTCCTGGGCGGAGCCCCGCTGCCTGCTCTGTACATAGCCATAGAGATGAATATTTATGTACATGAAATATCGAGCTGATAAATTATTACTATTTTTTTTTTTTAATAGATCTTGGTGCAGTTTCTGGTCTGCTCCCAGGGGTGAGGGAGGAAGGCAGTGCTGCCGGGGGGGCAGTGCCACAGGTGCAGGAAGTGGGGTCCTGTGCCTCCAGCCCCACTCTAGCACAAAGCACTGTTGCATCTGTTCCCCATTAGCTGCTGTTGCGCTAAGCCACCGTGAACTCCGCTACCAGCATCGCCCTGAAATTGATCCACCAACTGCTGCTGGCTCCCAGGCTGGGAAAGAGCCCCGGGCCCCGCACAGTGGGGTCCCCCCTCCCCACCTAGACCTGCTCCGGGACACCCGATAAAAGTGAGTTATGGGCTCTGCACTGCCTTCTCCTAACCCCGGTGCCCCTGGGAGCGGGGTTTGGGAACTGCAGGCCTTGCTCCTGGTGCCCACCTTGCCTTACTGCACCCAGCTCAGCTCCACAGGGAATGTGGGCAGGCAGGGGCTGCAGCTGTCTGCCTGGATCTAGGGTTTCATCTCAGCTCCTCTGCTCCAGTAAGGGCTGGGTTTTTCGTTAGCCCTGGGATCTTGTTTCCTTCTCCAGCTTCCAGCTGCAGGGGCTGCTCCCCACCACTGGAGCTGGCTGCTCCCCACCACTCACACATATGGGAGCTGGCTCAGGGGAGCAATGTGCCCCAACCGCAGGGCAGGTGGAATGAGGCCCCCTGGTCTCACCTACACACTTGTGCTGTGCTGGCACTGGGGTGCAGCCACCTTTGGCTGCATTGCATGTATTTTTGGAGTTGTCCTAGGGTTCTGCTCCCCACTGCAGGTTGAGCCCAGCCCTGCTTTCCCTCTCCCTGCTCCTGGCCATGGGGCCCTACTCCCCCTCTTCCCTGGACGTACCTCCCTCCATGGCTCCCAGACCACCAGCAGGTGTGAAACCTGCCCGGGCCCTACAGCCTCCCTGCCCCGAGGAAGGATCCCAGCTGTCCACTAATGTGCCAGAACCAATGCATTTAGCACAGCCCTGAATGGGGCATTCACATGCCGGAGGGTAAACTGCCCAGGCAGAGGGGGGGGCTGTCCAGTCCTGGCCCCCTGAGCCACAGGAGAGCCATCCCTGGGTTGTGCCTGGGGATGGGACAGTGCCATGTCCCCTGATCTGTGTGTTCACAGGCTGGGGGCTCATCCTTACAATTCAGCACATGGGTGCCCCTAGCACCACTCCTGGGGTCCCAGCAGTGCCCAGCACTGTGCCCCAGCCCCTGCTCAGCATCTGCTGCTGTCCTGCACGCCCTTGCATCCCCTCCATCTCAGGGCTGGGAAGCACTGGGCTGGACAGGGGTATGGGACATGGGGCAGGGGAGGCCGCAGGGCGTCCCGCAGCCTCGCACCAACTGGAAGATGGTTTTATTGTTGAACATTCCTGGTGTTTTCTGTCAGGGCTGAACCAATTGTCCTTAATCCGCCAGGCTCTGCTGGCCAAACAAGTGTGGCTGAGCCACCGGCATCCTGTCCCCACGAACAGGCCCCTTTTGTGAGGGGGATTTAGTGTGTAGCCCAGTAAATCCCGCTGGTTTCCTGAGGCACCGTTCCCACACGCCCTCCCCCAGCTCCAGGCCGTGGCACCGGGCCCCGGGAGGTGCCACGCTGCGGGGCCGGGGCTGCTTCACGCGGGACGTGGGACGTTTCCTGCTCCGCTGCCCACGGAGAGCCCTGAGTCCCGGGGGTGATGCTGAGTGCCGGGGGCACAGAGACGCTTCCTGATGCCAGCCCATTGCCGGAGATGCCTCCTCTTAACGACCCTCTGTTATCGGGAGGGATGGTGCTCTTGGCTTTTCTCCCCAAAACAAAGGAGCTGGGATCTTATCTCCCGACAACATCTGGCTTTTGTGAGATGCAGAACACCTCTGCCCTGGGGCTGGGTGGTTGCTGGGTGCGGCAGGAGGCTGCGAGGCGCCGGGCTCTCCCCTCTGCTCACACCGCTCCGTGAGCACAGCCGGCCTTAGGCAACGAAGGGAGGGCAGGGAAACGGCACGACGGAGTCCCACGCGTGATGGTATCCCACGCTGCTTCCCGGGAGCAGGGCTGAGGAAAGCGAGACATCCGCGTTCCCGGGCATCGGCCTGCGACCAAACCCCCACGGCCGCACCACTGCACCGTACAAAAAGCCCAACGCTTGCACTCTCCCGTGGATGCACACGCATGCACGCTTGCAGTATCGCGCCCAGATCCCGGTGTACTCACACCATTGGAGCACGCGAGGCCCCCCTGCATAGAAACACGCTCCCCCCGCACGGCGCACACCGCGCACATCCGCACCCCGCGGGCAGCCTCGGGCCGCAGCGCTGCGGGGCTGTGCGGGCAGGGCGGGCCGCGAGCCCCATCTCCCGGCCGGCGGCGGCAGCTCCGTGCAGAGCGGCAGCGGAACGGTCGAGCGCTGCCCCGCTCTTCCCCGGCTCCCGGGACGTATCTGCGGGGAAAAACGTAACGAGGCCGGCGTGGGGCACCGCAGCTACCGCTGGCCCTGGGCACAGGGCTGCCAGCTCCGCGGGCAGCGAGGAGAACGCCGAGCCCGTCCTTCCAGCACTGTGCCGTAGCCCCGCGCCGATCGGCGCTGCCCTCTGCAGCTGCCCCGTCCCCCCACGCCGTGCTGGCGCCCAGTGATCGGCTTCGGGGCCCTGGTTCCCCACCTCCCCGTGCCCTCGCGTGTCCCGGTTCCGACGTTCTGGGCTGTGGGTCAGGGCAGAAGGTGCCCAGTGAGGGGACCCCCGCGGGACTCCGCAGCCGATGGCGCGGCCGCGGGCACCGTGCCACCAGCACAAAGCAGATCCCATCCCCACGGCCCGGGGCCTGGCGAGCCGCGCGCTCCCCGGGGAAGGGGCCCCTGCCTGCCCTGCGGGCAGGATGCTCCCCGCTCCTCTCCTCCTCTGCTTCCTTCCTCCCGGCCCGGCCAGCCCTCCCCCTGCCCGCCAGCTTTAACCCTTTCGCCCGCGCTCGCCAACCCCGCGTTCCCAGAACCCTTTGTGCTCCGCTGCGGGGCTGCGCTCCCCCCGGCCCTCAGCCCACCCCACGGCGTTGTGTGTGCGGTAGAGCCCAAGGGCCGCCGGGAAGGCGAGCGGGCGCAGGGGGCAGAGTCCTGCGGGGAAGGGCTCGGGCAGAGACCCCGCAGTGCGTACACAAAGGCGGCCATGGCTCTGCGCTGTGCTCTGAGCGGGAGCGCGGCGGCCGGAAGAGCGTCTGCAGGGACGGTGGCAGCCCCGCGAGAGCGGGTCGGATCGGGAATGGTGCCGTGTGGGGCACCGGGACGGGGCTCAGGGGCTCGGGCCACGCTGGGGGTGCCCACGTGCTCTGTCCCCGGCACAGACACCAGGCCCTGCCCGCAGCACTCGTTCCCCTCCTCCCCCTCCCCCCCCCCGAGAACAAGGGGGAACGAGGCGGGGGCCCATCGCGGTGCGGGGCCCATCCTGGCACCGCGTAGCCCCGGGAGGGCTGCGAGGCGCGGAGCCGCTCTGTGCCGCACGCGGAGCCCTGCCCGTCCCCGGGGGGTATTAAATAAAACCACCGCCTTTATTTTGGGAGTGTGACGGCGCGGCGCGGGGCACGTGGCTGCGGGAGGAAGGAGGGAAAGGCGCTCCCGGGGCCTCGAGTGGCAAGGGCGCGGGGCCGCGTTCCTACGGGGCGCCGCGCCCCACGCGGGCCGCGTCACGGCGGTGGCGCATCGACGCGGGGACGGCGGCGGGGCACCTCCGGGCCGGCCGAGGTGGTCCCGTCGGGTCGCAGGGCGGTGCCGCCGGGCAGCGGGGCGCGGGGCGGCGCCCGACGCGGGGCCGGGCTGCGTCTTGCCGTGATCCCGCCGTGCCCACCTGCGGTCACCGTCGGCGGTCGGGACGCCCGGCCGTAGCGAGCCCCGCGGCCTCGGGAAGGAAGCGCAGCGCCGAGCGGCCCCGCAGCCCCTGCCCGGTCGGGAAACAAAGGGCAGCGGCGCGGGCGTGGGGGGGGCCAGCGCCGCACCGCGCCGAGCCCCGCGGCGGCGGCACGCGGCCCGGGCAGCACCGCCCCGGTGTGTGCCACAGCCCCGCGCTGCCCTCGGCCGCTGCCCCCCGCCCCGCGCCGTGCCGTGCTGAGCCGTGCCGTGCGGTGCCGTGGCGCGGCGCCCGGACCCGCGCGGCTCGTGGCGGAGCCCCCGGCCTCAGCTGGAGGGAGCGACGGAGCTGCCGCCACCACCGCTCGGGGGACGCCGCCGGTGTGCGGGGAGGGGCGGCCCGGGGCCGGCGGCGGGACGGGTGGGAGCGCGGCGCGGCGGGGCCCGACGAGGACGCGGCCGCCGGTTCCCCGCGGGCGAGGCCGTGCCCGGCGGTGCGCGGGCGAGCGGTGGGGAGCCGGGGAAGGGAGCGGGCGGCGGACAATGGTCGGGGCAGCGCGCGGGGCCGAGCCGGGCTCGGTGCCCGCGGGGTCCGAACGCCTCCATTTTGTTGGCGCCCGCGGGCCCGACACCCGCCCGTAGGCCCCGCGCGGCGGCTGGGTGCGGTGGGGCCCGCAGGTGAGGCGCGGCACGGGCCGTGCCTGCGGGGCCGGGGCGGCCGCTGGGGGTGCGGGCCCGCAGGCCGCCATGTGCGCGGGTCGGGCCGGGCCGGGCCGGGCCGCAGGTGGGAGCGGGGCCGGGCCGGGCCGCGTCGGGGGGGGGCAGCACTGAGCGACCCGGCTCCGTGGTCGGGGGGGAGAAGGGGGGGCGCCCGCCGCGGGGTGTGTGTGGGGGAGGGGAGGGGGGAAAGCTGGGGGGGGGGGGGGCGCGCGAGCGCGCGCTGATTGGCCACCGCCGAACCCCAAGAGCGGGCGCGGGGGGCGCGCGCGCAGGCGCGGGGGGCGCGCGCCCGGCGGGATGGCGGCGGCGTCGGGCGCGCGCATGCGGGGGAGGGAGGAGGGAGGCGGCGGAGGAGCGCTGGCGGGGCCTGGCCGGGCCGGGTCGGCGCGTCTCCTTTTCGGGCCGCAGCGGGGGCAGGCGGCGGCGAGCCGGCCGCGGCGGCCGCAGGTGAGCGCTGCCCGGCGGGCGCCGCCTCTCGCCGAGCGGGCCGCGCGAGCGGAGCGGGAGCGGAGCCGAGGAGCGGAGCGAGGCCGGGCGGAGGGGCCGCGGCCCGGGCCTAGCGGCGCGGCGGCCGCCTCCGTTCTTCCCTCCCTCTCGCCCTCCCTCCTTCTCGCCCGCGCGGGGCCGCGGAGCGCAGCGGGCCCCGGGGCGCGGCTGCCATTTTGTCGCGGGCGGCCGGGCTGACCCCATTGTGCTGTCGCCCGCAGGTGGATGCCCGCCGCCCGGCATGGAGCAGGCCTGCGAAGTGAGCCGCCGCAGCTGCCTCGTCCCGTTCGGCACCTCGCTGCCGGCTGCCGAGCGCAAGGGCGGTCCGTTCGGCGAGCCCCGCGGCCCCGAGCCGCCCGCCATGCAGCTGGCGGCCGCCAAGCCCGGCTTCGGGCAGGACCCGTCCTCCTGCTACATCCCGCTGCGCCGGCTGCAGGACCTGGCCTCCATGATCAGCGCCGAGTACCTCGGCGGCCCCGCCGACGGCGCTGAGGCCCTGCCCGACCCCGGCTCGCCGCCCCCCCGCGCCCCCGCGCCGCAGGAGCCGCCGGGCGGAGCCGGGCCGCAACCCGCCGCGCTGGGCTTCCCGCTGCTGCTGCGGGACGGAGGGGACGAGGACGAGGAGGAGGAGGAAGAAGAGGAGGAGGAGGAGGAGGAGGAGGGCAACGAGACACCCGAGGAGGACGACGAGGACGAGGAGGAGGAGGACGACGACGACGACGACGACGACGAAGAGGAGCTCGAGCAGAGCCGCGGGGCCGGCAGCCCGGAGCCGCCCCGCCTGCAGCCGGCGGAGCTGCCCGGGTCGGACGGCGGCCCCGGGGAGAGCGCGGAGCCCTCCGGCAGCGCCGCGCTGCAGCTCGTAAGCGGCGCCGGGGCGGGGAGAGCGGGGGGACGGCCGGCCGCACCGGGCGGGGGGAGCGGCGCGGCTCCATCTTGCGGGCCCGGCCGGGCCGCGGCTGGCAGCTGACATCGCGGCGGCCTGCTGGCAGCCATCTTGCCGAGGGACAGATTTGACACCAGCGCTGCCGTCGTTGGGAGCCGCTGTGCCGGGCCGCGGCCTCGTCCGTCTGTCCGGCCGCCTTCACGTGCGCGGTGCGGACGCAGCTGTCACCGCCGGGCGGGCCGTGCCTTTATCGCACGGCGCTCTCACCACACGCGTTTTATTATTTTTTCCTAACGTAGGCATCGTTGCCGTCATTGCTGCAAAATTAGTTTGCTGGGATTCCCTCCCCCCCTTTTTTTTTTCTTCCCTCACTCTGCTCTCAGGGTGTTTTTTGGCAAGGTGATGGGTCAGCAGGGGACCTCTCGCATCTCTTAGCACCTGCATTGTCAGAGCTTTGTTTGGGT